TACATTGGAGGGACTGTGTCTCTCTCTTCTTAACCTTGGTGTTGACCCATAGGCCCCCATTCCTTTGCCACACTTCCGTCTGCCTGCCTGTATCACATGGCTGCTGTGATTCTCTCTGTGAGCAGCTGGTGGAGCATAACCTTCATCTCACTAAGTATCTTGTCCTCTCAGCTAGAAAATGCAGCAATGCCTCCTTGTCTTTTTTTTTTTCCTTTCTCCCCACTTCTGCCCTCCCTAGAGCCAAGGTGTGTGAAGAGAAGTTGCGCTATGCTGCCTATAACTGTGTGGCCATTGACACAGATATGAGTCCCTGGGAAGAGTGATGTTGCAGCCTGACCAAACAGCATGGACAATCATTCGACAGAACTGTGCAGTGGGAAGAGCTCCCTTATCCTCCCAGGATGTGTATATATAATAAATATATAGGTGTGAAGCCTGGTTCCCAGCAGTGGTCACCAGCACCTCTTTGGACATGGAAGTTCAGATCTTCAGCAGAGTCGGAGCTAGGTCGGAGTGTAAATGTGATTGTAGTAATGAAACCCTGGCCCAGTCCTCATCCATCAGAAGGGTCTGGTAGGCTTCTGTAAGGAGTTGCTTTTACATGTGTCCTTGTTGCATCTCCACAACTCGCTTCTCCCAGGATGTGCTGTGCTCCAAACACAAGTGGGTAGAGCCACAAAGCTGCACAGCAGATTAAAGCACAGGACAGAACTGTGAGCTGCTGCTGACATCTCAGAGATGCTCATTGTGTTCTAGCCTGAGTGTCCTGACCACATTCCAATGCCTCGTTTTTGCTTTCACCTGGGTCAGTCAAAACGAGATAATTCGTCTAGGTTTAGGAAGATATTGGGCCGACTGGTGCTGCAGGGGTGCTTCTGGCCACCAGGTGTCACGACAGACCTGCACAGCAGGACTGGGAGTGCTGTTTGTAAAAGCACGGGAGTCCTTTCCTTCAGGCAAAATCCCACTTCCTGTGACCACGAGTTGTTCCCTTGCACCCCTTGCATAGCAGCAACTGTTGGTCCCCTACAGGAGGTGGGAACTGTCTACTTCCCACCTGCTCTGTAAGCTTCAGTCCTGCATCAAGCATGCTTGTGGCCTGACAGCTGTTCCCAGGCTCATTGAGGCTTGGTTTTGTCCCAGAAGGTAGTATTACAACTAATCTATTTCTCCCAGAGATGTGTAGGCTGGCCAAGCTCTTCTCCCAGACAGCAGAGGTTGGAGCAGTAGTGGGCATAGTGATGCCAGGCTCTGCATCCCTCTGCCACACAGAGGCAGGTAGATGTTTCGGGTAGCCAGGGAAAGCCTTTGCCCCAGGGGAGTGGAGAGACTGTGGTTACCAAGGGTTGGAGCTTCTCGAGCAGATGGACACACAGTGTGTGAGCAAGGAGTGGCCAATGAAAGCTTTACAACTTCAAGACCATTGTAAATGTTCCTTGATCTTCCCAGCCTTGGGAAGGGCTTGTCATTGCCTAGCACTGTGAGCTACCAGATGTCAGTCCACTGTTACATCCCCAGCTCTATCTTCAGCCTGTGTGGTCTGTTGGACCACAACTACTAAGAGCCACAGAGTCACTGGGCCTTCATTGAAGTGGCTCTAATGCTGTGAGTTAACATTTATCCTCTCTTAATGCTTCATGACTTTTTCTTCTCTGTTGAAGGAGTCTGTCATCTAGAAATCATGTCCAGTTGTAAACCAAGTCGCTCCCTTCACCAGTTTCCTTCAAAACTGCTGTATTCCCAGACCTGCTGAGGGGGTTTAGGGTAAAAGGAATGCAGGGCCAGGAATGAGCACATGCTGCCATTGCAGTGAGTGGAAGGAGCATGGGATGAGCAGGGAAGCTGTTTCTGTCAGCCCTTGCCTGCAGCAGAGCCTTCCATGCTTAGCTGGGTGCATGTGAAGTCCCATCTGCTGGAGAAGGGTTTTAGTAAATCCTAGAGTTATCTCAGAATGGAGCTGGATGGCTTTGTGGCTGATTTTAATGACCACTGTGGGTAGGAGCAAAGCCAGTGCTGATACCTTTTCGTGCTGGTGGCTGAGTCACTTCCCAGGGTGTATGTTTTAAATAGGCATGAGCGAGCTGATGAAAGGACTTTGATCTGCTGTCTTGGCCTCAGGCAGGAGTGTTGGTGAAGGAGTCTTCAGCATCAAGGTGGGACCTGAAAAGAGCCATCCTAGATCCTTTCTGGCTACTGACATTTGGGTGGAATCCATCCTGCTTTTCCTTGCCTACCTGTCTCTAATGGAAATCGGCAGGAGGTCACAGTATTTACTGAGAAAAACTAGAAGTAGCAAGAAAAGCACCTCTCTGGTGCTTTACTGCTGGACAGGGGACAGTTGGTTGATAAGTGGCTCAGGGCAGAATGGATAAAATGGCCCTAGTCTTTGGTGGCAGATGAGCTCATGTCACCTGTGGGAATGGACAGGTGTTAACTCCTGCCCCACAGATAGAAGGTAACTGATTCATTAATCCCCTTGGTTGGATAAAAGTGAAATGACACTCAAGGTCCATATTTAAATGTTGCCTTTAATTAGAACTGGAGAAGGAATAATTCATAAAGGCTGATATGCTCAGGCTACATGATCATAAAGGCTGATACTTATTATTATAAAACTCACAATACATGTTCAAGCTGTGCCACCTGGGAAAAATCATGGTAGGTTTACTGTAACACATTTAGCTCCTGGTCAGAGGGTCTGGACAAGTGTGGCTGATGAGCAAAGATGCCAAGATAACCTACAGACCATGCTGTTGAGTTTGCTGTGCAGAGGTGTGCTTGTCCTCTGTCTTGTCTGTGGTGCTTCAAAACCAACTGCCAACTGAATTTCTGCTGTGACATCTCAGTGAATTGTGGAAAAGGTCAGCCTGGAAGCGCTCTGGCCATTCTCAGAGGCCCAAAGCAGGTGTTATTTCAGTGCTGGGTCACATTCCTTCTCTGATCTCTGAAGCTGTGGGTAGGAGCTGCCTCCTACCATGTTTGACAAGACATGAGTCAAGTGCCTCTGCCTCAGCCTCCTGCTAAGCATGGCCTGGGGATGAAGGAGCCCTCCTGAGCACCAGGAACCAGAGGCTGCACATCCCCTTGGGGTTACCCAGTTTGTGGTTGGTTGAGATCAGTTTTCAAGTCAGTGCCATCCTGAGGAGGGTGCAGGTGCCCCTGTGCTGCTGAGAGGAGGAGGCATCTATGTGTGCCAAAGCTGAGGGTTTACAAGGTGGGTGGAGATGAGCTGAGGGAGGGACTGATGCTGTGATGGCTCTGAGTAACCACTCACTCTCTCCTGACTTCAGCATGCAAAATTGTTTGTAGAATACCTTCAGGTGATTAACAACACACATGTAGTCAAGCTGTTCTCGTTATTCTACTAATACCCTGGAGTATGACAAGCTATAAATAGTTTGACAGAATCTATCTGTCCCTACCTCATGTAGGTTCTAAAATAAAGTGAATAAACTGAACTACTCCTGGCCTTCCTGAGGGTTTGTGTGGTCTGGTTGAGGCTCCTGCATCCTCCTGTTGGATTAAGCAGGGATGGAGACTGGTGTCATAAGAGGCAACTGGAGGAGAAGCAGAAACTGGCCCTGTGCTACCCTTTGCACACAAAGTAGTGTCTCAGAAGTGGTTCAGTATTGACTGGCCCAGCCCTTTTCAGCAGCTCCGCGACCACTTTCGTAGAGTGATGTGGCTGGGGAGGGAGGGCACGGGATGCTCCTGGCTGCAGTGTCTGTATTTAGGAGCAAGGCAGAAGTTTGCATTTCTCTCAAACCGTGGTTCAGGGCACTTTGCTCCTGGGGAGGCCAGTGCCCATTGCTGCAGCAGGGGCAGTCACGCCTGTTCAGTAGATAATGCTGCAGGGGTGACAGCTGTCAGAGCTCTCTTTGCACTGTGCCTTTGCAGGGATGGAGCTGGACTCTGACCTGCCAGGAGAGTCAGCTGGTGCTGTGCAAGGACCTTTGAGCTTTGCCGCCTGAACACAGGTCTTTGTGCCCAACCTGGAAGAATTCAGGTAGGGTGGGGTGGGGCTGAGTTGCTCCGCCACCGCCTCACCATGGTATGTGACTGGCAGATGAGACATGGGGTGATGCATGGCCAGTATTCTGGGGTGGTCAAGTCCTGCAGGGCGGCATGGCCTTGTTCCTGCTGCCAGGATGTCACAGCTGGCTGGGAGAAAGCTGGTCCTGGGCAGAGAATCTTGTCATCCTCCCCTATGAGCCTACCTGGGGCCATCCCCCAGACAGCCAGGAGCTGCATAGCAGAATGCCTCCTTCACCCTTTTCTCTATCCCTGCTGGAGATGTAGTCTTGACCCTACAGGCAATCCCTCTCTGCTTCTAGGGATTCAGGCAGGGATGGGGACCTTAGGGATCAGGAAGGAACAGAGTCTGCAGCTGCAGGGTGAGGGGATGCAGGTGACCTGGGTCAACTCCTTCTGGGGACAGCCAGCCCAACATGGAGGTAACAGCCACATCTTAGCAAAGGGGGGTGACAGTGGCCCCACATCTGCTCTGCTATGGAGCAAGGGCTACCATGGCCTGTAAGGGGAAAAGAATCATAGAATCGTTTTGATTGGAAAAGACCTTTAGGATAATCAAGTCCAGCTGTTAACCCAGCACTGCCAAGTCCACCACTAAACCATGTTCCTAAGTACAAGATCTACGCATCTTTTCAATACCTCCAGGGATGGTGACTCCACCACTTCCCTGGGCAGCCTGGTCCAGCGCCTGAAAACTTTTCCAGTGAAGAGGTTTTTCCTAATATCCAACCTGAACTTCCCCTGGCACAGCTGGAAGCCATTCCCTCCTGTTTATCACTTGTTACTTGGGAGAAGAGACCGACCCCCCCCGGTTCCAACCTCCTTCCAGGTAGTTGTTGAGTGCTGTGCTTTCTTTTGCCCCAACAAAAGGGTCCATGTTCCCATGATTCAGGCACTTTCCTAGTTCTCCTGAGTGTGCTTCTGTCTCCATGGTGCCCCCACCAGGGTTGGGGCTGGTCCTTAGCCCATGTCTCTCTGGTTGGGAGATACCCTTGCTCACCATGGGCCACACCTCCCTGCTGCTTTGTGTGAAGCCAGGGAGCTGAGTGGGCAGGGCTGCTTGGTGCCCACTTGCTGGAGGTCCTTGCTCCTTTGGTGGTGATCTTGAAATGGCACCTGCCTGCCTCACGGCTTTGAACCCAGGTCTGCTTCCCCTCTGGTGGGATGGGAGGATGATGCTGCCAGCCCAGAGCTGAGGTGGGCACAGAAGCCACCTCTGCCCCAGCTGCAGCCCCTCTGTCGAGGAGTACTGCAACGGCGCCGGGCTCTGGGTCAAGCTCAGCAAGGTAAGGCCGGGGGAGGCTCCTGAGGGCAGCCAGGAGGGCGTTGAGGTGTAGGAGCGTGTCCAGAAACGCGCAGCGATGCTGGCGAAGGGTGTCGAGCGCAGGTCTTGCGAGGATCGGCTTGAGGGAACTGGGGTTGTTTGTCGTGGAGAAAAGGAGGGTGAGGGGAGAGCTGCTTTCTCTCTGTTACCTGAAAGGAGGGTGTAGTCAGGTTGGGCGCGGTCCTTTCTCCCGAGTCACAAGTGATAGAACAGGAGGGAATGGCTTCCAGCTGTGCCAGAGGAGGTTTGGGCTCTATATTAGGAACAATTTCTTCACCGGAAGGGTTGTCAGACACTAGACCAGGCTGCCCAGGGAAATGGTGAAGTCACCATCCCTGGAGGTATTGAGAAGACATGTGGATGTGCTGCTTAGAGTTTAGTGTGGACTTGGCAGTGCTGGGTTAATGGCTGGACTTGATGGTCTTAAAGGTCTTTTCCAACTAAAACGAATCTATGGTTCTGTGCTCTGCTTTCAGGAGCAGCTGGAGGAGTACACGGGCAGCCATGACCTGGCTGAGGGCTGGATCCTGGCGCAGAGGTTTGGAGAGGGAGGAGATAAATTGGTGCCAGTGGAGTCTCTGCAGAACGTCCAGTGGCAGCATCAGGCACTCGGGATTGATTATAAATCTGCAGGCAGGTACGGCCCCAGCCTGCTGCACCTGGGGTAGGGGGCTGGGCTGTAGGTGATGGTGGCACGTGTGGCTGTTACCTACAGAGGGTGTGTGACCCAACCTTCCCAGATCTCTTGGGCATGTCCAACACAACCCCCCTCACTCCCTCCAGTACAAGTGGGACGCATCCTTGCCAAGCTCCCTGTTGGCAGGAGGGTGCCCCCTGGTAGGCTGATTCTGCTTGCCTGTGGCAGCACTTGTGCAGGATAAAGGTGATGTCAGGTGGTTTCAAGGCACTTGGGTTTGGTCTGAGCGACGTCATGGAGGTAATGCAAGGATGAGAGAGGTCATATTTGATTTTGAAAACAGAAGTCCATGTGCAAGGCTGGATTCCCCACTCTGCCCCAGTCTGCACCCAAGTGCAGGGGCACTCTCATCCCTCCCACAGCTGTTCCTGCAGCCCCTGGCTGCCATTCCTGGTCCCCCAATGCTGCTGCCTCTACTCCAGGCTAAGTCAGTAACACTTGGGCACACGGAGCACTGACCCATCTTTTCCCTTGTGTGACTCCTCCACTGGTGCTGCTCCAGCTGGGAACAAGTGGTGGACCTGATGTACTCCATGCGCCTGGGAGAGAAGCCCGTACCCATAGACCAGGATGAGGCGGCAGTGCACAAGTTCCGGTATGAATGCATCTCCTAGAGCGGTATTGCAGCACCCTGAGGAACAGCCAGCTGGGGCCTGGACATGCATGTGAGACCAAGGCTGGCTTCAGGCTTCGGCGTGGGGAGGATGGGTGTCATGAGATGCCTTTTACATCAATACAGTTCAACTGCTTAAGCAAAGATAGCCTTTGCTCTGCAGTGTATCAGAGCAACCATGTGGTGCTATTCCCACTGGGCTGGGGTGGCCATAAACACCTGTCATGGTAGTGGTGAGACACAGCCGTGCCATCTGCCTGCAGAGGGGATAGCTGCCTGGTGCCATGCCAGTGTGGTGACCACAAGATACTGTGGCCTGTCGGAACTGGGGCAACTACACAGTGCTGGTGGACAGGTCTGGGGGGCAGCCTGGTCTCCCCATCCCATTAACCCGGAGCCCGCATGCAGGTCCGTGCCCCCAGGCTGGAGCTATGAGCGAGACATGGAGCTGGGACGCTTCCTGTACGATCACAGAGAGAGGCAGCAGCAGTGTGGGGACTGCAGCAAGGAGCACCTCATCAGCGTTGAGGTCTCCTCACAGACGGTGCGTAGCAGAGCTCCTCCCTGGCTTAAAGTCAGCATGAGACACAGAAGCATCACCGCAGCTGTGGGGAGGAGTGGAGACTGTGGCTGTCCCCTCCAAGAGGGACAGAGGATGGTGGGGTGTGGCTTTGCTGCTCTAGCAAAGCTGCAAGGAGTTGGGCATTTGGAGCAAAACCCCACTGTGTCTCTGGGGTGCTGTGAAGGGTCCGTGGCCATGCCCAGCTTGCTCTGTATGGGAACTACCATCCATCTCCACCCCAGCAAACCAAGGGGCAGGCCCAGTCCTGACCTCCTCTGGCCCCATGAGACCTGTCCTGGGGTGGCCACAGTGTGCCCAAGGATGCTCAGCTCCCTCCTTCCACTTGCTGCACTCTTGCAGGAGGACTGTGTCGCAGCCCACCTGACTGACAACCAGGCATACACCTTCTGGGAGAGCAACGGGGCCCCGGAGCAGCACTGGGTGCGGCTCAACATGAAGAAAGGCAGCATTGTCAAGTGAGACCTTGGGGCATCCCTGTGGCTGTGCCAGGGGCTGGCAGGGTGTGGGAATAAAGCACCATCTTCCTCCTGAATGCAGCTTTCTCTGGGCAGCAGGCAGGGGCTCAGGGTTGTGGTGGGGGGTCAGCTGCTGCCAGATGCACCCCAGGAAGACACAGCCTTGACCCCAGCTCCAGGACATCTCTGGGGGCATCTCTATGTCCACGCAGCTCAGGAGAGGAGGGTGACACTGTCCCTTGCTGTTCTCGTCTCCAGGAAGCTGTCTTTGACGCTGGACGGGCAGGCCAATTCCTATGTACCCAGGAGGGTGGCTGTGTATGGGGGGCCACTGAACAAGCTGCAGCACCTGAGAACTGTCCTAATTAATGAGTGAGTAACAATCAAGGACCAGCCTGGGTCCACCTTGGGCAAAACTCCGGAGCTGTTTCTGCATTCTGAGCAGATGCTAAAGAAAAGGGCTGGGGTCAGTCCTGAGTGGTGATGGTGGCTTTTGGTGCAGGCTACATCTGTCCCCACAAGCGTGGTGGTCCCCTGCCTCCATATGCCAGCTGAGTGCTTTCATCTCGACTCCTCCTTCACATCTGTGCTGTGGTGGCTTGGCTGCAGCATGTTTTCTGCTGCCTGGCGTCTTCGGGAGTCTTTTGTTCTTCTTGCCTCTGGGAGCACATACCACTACCATCTCCTTTCTGAGCATCTCTGCCATGCTGTAGTTGAGAGGTCCTGGAGTATTTAACTTCCCCCTCTTTGCTCTGGTTCTGCAGCACCCTTCTTGAGGCATTTACACGGGGTTGTGAAGACCTCCTGCTCCTTCCTCAAGACTTGCCTATTTGCCTTTTTTAGGCTGAGCAGTAAGATTTGTCTTTGAAGAACTATCCACAAGACTGCCAAGGTCTCTTTCCTGGTGTCAGGACCCAATTCCTCACTGTCTTTGGGCAGTTGCAGTGTTTTCTCCCCACACACCCATAGGCCTTTGATGGGACCTTGCCAAAGGCTTTGGAAACACAAGTGAATAACTTAGCAAATTGTTCATCTCCACAAATCCCTGTTTCCTCCAAAACACATCACCCTTGTGTGACCAGCTCGACTTGAAGGATGATTGTACCATAGGAAGATGCCAGGAACCCCTGGGAACAGCAATGTGCTCTTGGTCATCTTGCCTTTCTGTTCTGCTTTGAATTTATGGTCCTTTCTGGCTCTTTCGATGTGGCTTCCACCTTCTTCAGGACTCCTCTGTGCCTCTGACAGCCTCTCCTCTCCTCTTGGTCCCCTCCTGCTGCAGCCCCAGTGAGGCAGGGGGGTTTTGCCATGGGTAGCAGGGCATCCTCAGCCGAGGAGCTGGAGTGGCCAGCGCCTTGCTGGTCACCTCGCCAGCAATTGTGCCTTGTGGCTCTGCCATCTCCCTCCGTGCTGTGTGCAGGAACAGCTACCAGAATGTCTGCATCCTCCGTGACATGAAGACCCACGTGCCGGTGCTGGAGATCCGTATCCTGGAGTGCCGGGGTGAGCCTGCCCTGCAGGGCTGGGGCTGCCAGCCCAGCCTGGCCCTAAAGCTGCAGCCAGACCCAGCACTTGTGGCTCTTCCTGGCGCACCAGGAGCTTTTTGGGATCCCTTGGAGGAAAGGCTGGGGAATGAGCTTATTTTGGGATGCTGCTGGTGCTGGGTGCTCCTTACGCCCAGTTGCAGCATCTGAGCTGTGCTGGCCACACAGCTTCAGCCACACACACAGCATCACTGTCCTTTCTCGGCAGAACGAGGGTACAATGTCCGCCTGCGAGGGATTAAGATCAAGTCCTTCTGGGAGTGGGACCTGATCCTTAACAGTGACATGTTCCAGCCAGCCCATCTGGTGCGCTACCCTCTCCTGGAAGGGGTGGACACCGACGTGCTGTACCGGCGGGCCATGATCATTCAGAGGTATGGCGTGGGGATGGCACTGTCCCCCCGCAGTGGGCCTGGGTCCCAAGAAGGACCAAGCCCTGGCCTCTAGCTGGGGGTTGCATGTGTCTTGCTTCAAGTCTGCCAGATCCTTTCCTGTGTGTTCCTTTGGCTTACTGCTTCCCATCCAAACATGGATGCTTCCTGGAGAGCATGGCAGTAGCATGGACTGAAAGGGATCTGCATCACTTGGAGTATTCCACCCCACTGCCTGTCGGGCAGCCCCAGGTTGGGGTCAGCAGTGACCCCACACAAAGACCCTCTGCAGTGGTTCAGCCACAGTGCTGCAGCAGGAGCTGGGCTGCCCTCGTTTGCAGCTTTTCCTTGAGGGGAACAAAAGAAAGTGCTTGGCCAGAGGGTGCTGTTTGGGTGCTCCGCTTGCTGTGCAGGTGTCCCTGTGTGGGCTGGAGGAAACCCACATGCAGGGTGCACACTGCCCAGGTTCGGTGCCTGGGGCTGTCTGTGGTGAAATGCCACAAGTGTGCTGGGTTCTGCACATCCACTAACACCCTTGCATCCTCATGCTGCTTCTCTCTGGTCTCCAGGTTTGTCCAGCTCCTGGACAGTGTCCTGCATTACCTGATCCCCCTCTCTGAGGACAGCATTGGTGCCTTCAGTGTATTCAGGGTGAGCATTTGCTGGGCTCCCCTGGAATGGTGCCAGTAGAAGCATCTCATCATGAGCTTGGCTGGTTTCCGTGAGCCTCGGACGTGTCCCTCTTGATCTGATGAGGACGGATCGGCCTAGGGGTCCTGCTGGGAGCTGCCATGCTGGGCATTGTGGCAAGAACAGAGAAGCTGAGCATCCCCTGTGACATGAGGCTGCACCTGGGGAGAGGGAAAGAAGATATGTGGTGGGAGGATCAGGCCTCTAACCATTCCTCCTCATCCCCTTCTAGAGCATGAAGCCATTCCTGCTGCTGTGCAAACAGAGTACAGCCCTAATCACCCACTGCCTCCAGTCCTCGGAAAGCAACCCCCCTCAGACCGCACCAAAGCTGTGCATCAACCGGCACCTGGCCCGGGAGCACCGCGCCAACCCCGCGCTGGACCCCAGCTGCAAGAACACGGTCTTCACCCAGGTATGGCCACGCCATGCCCCACACCAGATTCCTTCCAGTTCAGCATTGCTTGCCCCCATGGCATCTCATCCCCTTTTTGTTCTGCTCCTCTCCAGCTGTATGAAAGTCTCAGGTCTTCCAAGAACAATCAGCCCCTGGACTACAGGCAGGTCTTCACATCATATTTGTGGGCTGTTACATCTCTGGTGTAGGGTGTGGGGGATCTTGGGTGCTGCTGGCTCTCTCTAGGATCTCTAGGAGGGATGTGCTTTCCTGCAGGTGGCCCTCGAGCTACAGCCAGTGGTGGGAGTGTGATTTCATCACTGAGGGCATCATTGACAATGGTGAGAGTTCTCCCCTCAGAGCTTTCTCACACTGGGGGCAGCTCAATGCACAGGGTTGCCAATGCACAGTTGCTCTGTGAGAGACAACCCTGCTCCACACACCTGGGGTGGTCCTTGCATCTCCCTTAGGGCCCCAGCACTGCCCCATGAAGTGGGGGTGGCTTGGCCAGATCCTGCTGCTCAGTCTCTGGCCCTGGCTGTGTCAGGCATTAAGCAGCTTCTGCCCCCATTGCAGGCGGTGGTTTTCGGGACAGCCTGTCGGACGTGTCAGAGGAGCTGTGTCCCAGCTCAGGCGACGTCCCTGTTCCCCTTCCCTTCTTCGTGCGCGCCTCCAACCAGGTTTGGCACCCCACTGGCTGCCTGTCCCAGCCCCAGGGGGGCATCCAGCAGAGCCTGCAGCCTTTTGGGGTGTTAGTCCTATCTTAGTGCTTGCAGGACTTTTGGCTGGGGGGACTGTGCTTGTATGCGAGTGGTGGAGATGTCCTGGAGGGCAGGCAGAGGGGTGGTGGAGAAGGAGGCTGCAGGGAGAGACTGCACTGGGCTGGTCACATCAATAGCCGTGGGTCCTGAGCCTCTATCTTGCAGGGTAACAGCAGCAGCAATGCCAGGGACATGTATGTCCCCAACCCCTCGTGCAAGGACTTCCCCAAGTATGAGTGGATCGGGCAGCTGATGGGAGCAGCCCTGAGGAGCAAGGAGTTTCTGGTGAGCATGGCAGAGCCTCCATGGTTGGCTCAGGGTCTTGGTGGGGGCTACCATGTCTTGGGAGGACAGGCTGCCGTGCTTTCTTGGGAGGAGGGGCTGCCCTGCTTGGATGAAGGAGGGACACAGAGGACTCCTGTCTCTGCTCCGTCTGGCAGATCCTGGCTCTCCCAGCACTGGTGTGGAAGCAGCTGGCAGGGGAGGAGGTCAGCTGGAGCAAGGACTTTGCTGCTGTGGACTTAGAGCTGGTGAGTGGGGCCAGGGGCCAGCAGGGATGTGTTGTATGCTCCCATGGCTGCTCTGGCTCCACCATGATGGCCTTTGCCTGTTGGGCTTGCAGGTGAGGCTGTTAGAGATGCTGGAGGAGGTGGATAGAGAAGCCTTTGAGTTCATGTTTGGCCGAGAGCTGACCTACACCACGGTGCTGAGTGACCAGCGCGTGGTGGAGCTGATCCCCAACGGCAGCAGCACCGTGGTGCGCTACGAGGACCGCAAGGAGTTCATCCGCCTGGTGCAGAAGGCCCGGCTGGAGGAGAGCAAGGAGCAGGTAACGCTGTCCCCAGGGCCAATGTGGCTGCAAGGGAGCCCAGCTCCTGTGGCAAGCCCTCCTTGTACCTGTAGGGTGGGCGGCTTAAAAAATGTGTCCCCCGAACCAGTTCCAGCTGTGGTTCCTCTGTGCATCCCATGCCCAGGATGTCCATGAGCCCTGGGAACCCGCTTTGGGGTCCTGCAGTCCTTGCCCCCCAAAGCATGGCATCAGAGCTGTCATGGTGACTCGGGACCCCTCTTGTGCTCCCTGCAGATCACAGCCCTGCGTGCTGGACTGCTCCGCGTGGTGCCCCAGCCTGTTCTGGACCTGCTCACCTGGCAGCAGCTGGAGAAGAAGATCTGTGGGGATCCTGACATCACAGTGACTGAACTGCGGAGGTTCAGTAAGTGCCAGGGCCAGCCCAAAGCTGCTCCCAGCTCCCGTGGGGGCAGGGACCCCCCGATAGTGTCCTGTGCACGCATCCTGCCCCATGCTGAGTCCCTGGTTGTGGTGTGCCTGGGGGAGGATGAGCCAGAGGCATGCTGGATAAGGATGCTTCAGGTTTAGTTGCAAACCACATCAGTTTCCACTCTGGTCCCTCTGGTCTTTGGTTGCTCTGGGCAGAGGCGAATGGCCACCCTGCAAACTGGGACTATCATTTCTCCACTCACCTTTGGGTACCAGAGGCTTGCAGGGGCTCACTGAGAGCAGAGGGTCTCTCCCTCTCCTGACTCTTCTCTGTCAGGATGGGCATGCCCCATGTTAATTTGCTTTGCTGGTAGTTTCTAACAAAGCTGTTGTGTATTCTTTGTTGCAGTCGTATTTGAGGACTTTCCTGCTGACGACACCCGTGTCCAGGACTTCTTGGAAGCACTCAACAACTTCACCAGTGGTGAGTAACCCAAACATTTCCTGGCTCTTCATGTGCAGCAGGGTGGGCCAGGGGATAGTGTTCCCACTGCCCTGTGCTCCGGGGACACTCATCAGGTGCTTCCCTGGGAGTCAGCTGGTGCCATCCTGCCTGGCCTTTCCCAGGATGCTGAGAGCATCCCTTAGCTTTGCCCTATGCTCCTTCAACACCACTGCAAGGGCAGACCCTCCCATGACAACAGCACAGGGCCTGTCCTTGTCCCTGAGACTTGAGCCCTTTCCTTATCCCTCAGAGGATCTCAGCCGCTTCCTCAAGTTCGTCACTGGCCGGAGCCGCCTCCCAGTTCAGATAACTGTCTACCCAGGAAGAACAGAGTGAGTCCATCCTGGGCTGGCGTCCCTGTGGCATGCTGGGGTCCTTGCTCCAGGTCAGGGTCTGACTCTCTCCTTTCTCCCAAGCTCGGATGCATTGGACTTGATGCCACAGGCCTCCACGTGCTCCTGTACCTTCTACTTGCCCTGCTATTCCTCGTGAGTTAAGCTGGGTACAGGAGATGGGGACACTCCCCTATCCCTGGGGCTGGAATTGGGGTCCTCTCCTAGGCCACCTCGGTCCTGCCCCAGAGGACATTTGGGTGTGTTTGGAGAGGGAAGGGTGGGGCTCTCAACGCCGGGCACAACCGTGATGACCCAGTGTGTCCCAACCCAGGGCCAAGGTCTGCGAGGAGCTGCTGCGCTACGCCGTGTACAACTGCATGTCCATCGACACTGACAAGAGCCCCTGGGATGAATGAGGCCCCCCCGGGTGTCCCGCGCTGTGGGACCTGCGTGCCCGGGGGACAACACATTCAATAAAACCGCAGGGCTGGATCCTGCCGTCCCGCCGCAGCTCCTGCTTGTGTCGCTGCTTCTCCGGGGCTGGGAGGGG